GCGGCGCCCGCTTGCGCAGGCTGCCACCGAGGTCTCAGCGGACTTGCCCACGCGCTTTGATCGCCAGCATTTCACCGCTGTAGCCCTGGATCGTGTCGTCCTCGGCACTCCCGCGGAATGCATGCTCGAGGTCGACGCGGCGATGGAAGTTCATACCGACCCATGCCAGCTGTCCGACGCTCGTTTGAGTGACCACGCGTTGGTTTCGTTTTCGTTCCAGAATCGTGGCAATGGGTCGGCTACTGAACTGCACCTTCCTGATTTCATTTTCAAAGATTCTCGATATCGTGAGGAGCTCGGGGCTCTCCTCCGCGCTGTCGATCTATCTCGCCTGCCGAGCGATTTGCAATGGGACTATTTGAAGACGTACATGTGGGAGGCTGCGCACGAGACTCGCAATGAGCTGCAGCAGCTCCCTCTCGCATCGCAGGGTTCTAGCTCTGTCGAAGCCCCGCAGGGTTCTAACGCCGTCGAAGCCCGCCTTGTCACGCTCCGCGCTATTGCCCGAGCAGTGCGGCGACAAGACTCGAGAGCGGGCGCCGCAATCCAGGCCGCGACCGATTTTGGTGCTCGTTTTCTTTCTCTTTCGGCCTCCTCCCCCCCCCTTGAGCCCGATGCCTTTCGCACCCTGTTTCGTGAGATGAGCGCTGCTGCGATCGAGCGCCGCCAATCGCGCGCTGCTTCTCTCGCACGTAGCGCCCGGGCCAGTGGGCAGCGCGCGACCGCATCTGCCGCCCGCCGCCAGCTGAGAGCCCTCCAGAAGCGTGCCGGGCTCTGGCGGCCTCGTGGCGCCGCGCTCATCTTCCACGGCATCAGGCCCGAATCGATCGCTGGGGCACCAGATAATTCTGCTGCTCCGATTGCGAGGTCGAGCGAAGATGTCCGCAGGACCCTCTCGAATCATTGGAGGGGCGTTTTTGAAGCCAGGCGCGTTGATCGCGACGGGCTCCGACAGCATCTCGATCGGCTTGCGGCCTCGGGGCCCCCCGCAGAGGGATCTGAGCTCAATGACATTCCGACCCCGGCGCGTGCTGGCCTCGAGCAGGCCATGCGCCGCGCCCGCAATTCGGCCCCAGGACCTGACGGATTCACACGCCAGGCCTTTGCCGCCCTCCCTGGGCAGCTTGATATTACGCACAACTTTTCTCTCACGCTGTTCAGAGGAGATGCGGCCCCGCTTGATTTAAATGATTATGTGTTTGCCTTTCTCCCAGGATCTGACCCGTCTTATGCGCGTGACTGCGTGCGCATGCCGAGCAAAGTCAGGCCGCTCTCGCTTCGCAGCACGGACACCAAAATAGGTGCCAGCGCCGCCAATGTGCATTTGCGTGGCAAGGTGCCTCTTCTAGTGCATGGCAACCAGCGAGGCTTCGCCATGGGCCGCAATTTCACTCACAGTATTGTCCACATGGATGCTGCTGCTCGTGCTCTCAGCCTCGCCCCGAATGGAGATGTCAGGATGCCATGTTTCGTTTCTTTCGACATAGCGGCGGCATTTCCGTCGGTGGCCCAGTGCTGGCGATCCGAAGTTCTCCGCCGCCTTGGAATGCCCCAGGGTTATCTCAATCTCCTCAGCTCGCTCTATTTCGTTCCCCGCGGTTTCGGTAGATTTGCTGGTCAGCTTCATTTCATGTTTTATATATGTAGTGGAGGGCTCCAGGGATGCCCCCTATCGGGAACGGTTTGGGCGTTGGTGTTTGACCCCGTTGTGAGGTTGCTTTCTGCTGAGGTTGAAGTGCCCCCCATTGGGGGCACCCCTGGAGCGCTTGGGGCGTGCGCCGACGATTTCGGCACCTTACTCCCCCAGATCTGCGCACTAGCCGCACTGACACCACATTTTGAGAACATCGAGAGGCTTGCTCACCTGAAGCTCCAGCCCTCCAAATGTTGCATCGTCCCTCTCTGGTCTGAGTGCACTCCCACAGTCCAGCAGCAAGTGCGCACTTGGCTCGCGGTGTCAGCTCCTGCATTTGTGAACTTTGACGTCCAACCAGCCACCGCGCATCTCGGGGTCCAGTTCGGGCCGGGTGGCGGAATCCTTGAACAGTGGCAGGCTGCATCTCAGAAGTGGTGGCAACGCGCGATCGACCTTCCACGCTCTCGTGCCCCTGCCCCGCTGCTTATGTACCAGTATGAGATGCATGCAGTCAGCGCGCTGGGATATCTAGCACAATTATTCCCCATGTCGCCGCTCGCTCTGTCTCGTGAGGCTCTTGCTATTCACAAGTTGCTGCATCTCCCGCCCAGCGCCCTCTTTCGTTCTGATCTTTTCTCGCTTTCCTGGATCGGTCTCTCCCCCCGCTCGCTCGCTCTCCCTGGGATCGCGTCCGCGCGGCGGGCTGCGAACGACGCCGCCCCCGACTGGCGCATCGCATTCGACCTGCTCTAGCGGGCCGCAGACCAGGCCTGCGGCAATGCCCCTCTCTCGGCCCCGCGGTGGGCAGTTGGGGAGTGGTGCGCGCCTTCTGGAAGCATCAGAGAGCCATCGTCCAGATGTATTCTGATCTAGTCCACTCCTCCCCGTGTGTCCTCCTCTTGGGTCGTGGCTCCTCCCTCCGCCCATCCTTTCCTGTCCCCCGACGAGCATGGCGCCGCGCGAGAGCCGAGAGTAGGAGAGAGGCGCGGTCGGCCGAGGTGCAGCGAAGGAAGCCTAAGATCCAGCGCGTCGTCGGTCAGTCGCTCGTCTCGTCGTTGTACCCAGACAGGCTCCACTGTACCATCGGCCGCCGCCTCAGTGCATGGGGTTACAATGCCCCGCCCGACCTTGGAGCCAGGTGGCCCCTAGTGCGAGAGTGCCTCGCTCAGGTCCGCCCCACATGGCGATGGGCTTGCATCGAGAGCATCTGCGGAGGATGGGCCACTAGCTCTCGTATGCACGTTTCGCCTCTGTTTCGAGATTGTATTTTTGGGTGTGGAGGATCCGATTCGATGTCTCGCTACTTCCTCTGCCCCCGCCTCCGACACCACGTCGCCTCGTGCTGGATGCCGCTCGTCTTTCCGTCCGATCCTCTTCTATGGCTTGGCCTTGAGTGCTCCGCTGAGTACGGCTCGGAAGATTGTGAGATCTCGAGGCCCCAGGCTGTTGAGGCCGCTGTCCTTGCCTTTCACATTTACCACGAGAGCAAGGACATGATCCCACCCCGCTCCCATCATGATTACAATTCCGCTTCGCGGGTCGCCGCTGCAGCCAGGCTCGCCCTTCGGGCCTAGTTGACGGGGGCTCGCCCTCTGGGTGCGTTCGCTCCCTCCCTCCCTCCCTCCATCCTCCCTCCTCCCCTCCCTGCCTCTTCCCTCCATCCTCCCTTCTTCCTCCCTCCTCCCCTCCACGTTGTTCCCCCCCTCCCTCCTCCCTCCCTCCTCCCTCCTCCCTCCCTCCTCCATCCCGCCCTCCTTCCTCCTCAGATCCTCTGCAGGAGGATCGCAGGTGAGCGGGCACCGAAAAGAGCATGTGCACACGAGGGCAAGGCGACCCACGATGATGTGTACCCGAGGTGAAATGTGCCGCCTGGTTGCGGTTACGGTTTCACGCGCGGGCGGGTTGAAAGGTGTCGCTCTGTTGCGGTTGCGGTTGCGGTTGCGCGCGCGGGCGGGTTGAAATGCGTCGCCTGGTTGCAGTTGCGGTTGCGCGCGCGGGCGGGTTGAAATGCGTCGCCCAATGGCGGTTGCGCTTGCGCTTGCGCTTGCGCGGGCGGGTTGAAATGTGTCGCCCGGTTGCGGTTGCGGTTGCGCGCAAAGGCGGGTTGAAATGTGCCCGCTTGCGGTTGCGGTTGCGGTTGCAAGGGCGGGTGGAAATGTGTCGTATGGTTTCTTTTGCGGTTGCGGTTGCGCGGGCGGTTTGACATGTATCGCGCGGTTGCGGTTGCGGTTGCGCGCGCGGGATGGTTGCGGTTGCGGTTGCAAGGGCGTGTTGGAGTGCGTCGCCCGGTTGCGGTTGCGGTCGCGCGCGCGGGCGGGTTGAAATGTGTCGCCTGGTTGCGGTTGCGGTTGCGGTTGCGCGGGCGGGTTGGGATGTGTCGCCTAATGGCGGTTGCGGTTGCGGTTGCGGTTGCGGGCGCGGGCGGGTTGAAATGTGTCGCCCGGTCGCGGTTGCGGTTGCGGTTGCGCGGGCGGGTTGAAGTGCGTCGCCCGGTTGTGGTTGCGGTTTTGCGCGCGGGCGGGTTGAAATGCGTCGCCCGGTCGCGGTTGCGGTTGGGGTTGCGCGGACGGGCTGACATGTGTCGCTCGGTTGCGGTTGCGGTTGCGATTGCGCGGGCGGGTTGACATGTGTCGCCTGGTTGTTGTTGCGGTTGCGGTTGCGCGCGCGGGCGGGTTGAAATGCGTCGCCCGGTTGCGGTTGCGGTTGCGGTTGCGATTGCGCGGGCGGGTTGAAATGTGTCGCCCGGTTGCGGTTGCGGTTGCGGTTGCGCGGGCGGGTTGAAATGCGTCGCCCGGTTGCGGTTGCGGTTGCAGTGTGTCGCCCGGTTGCGGTTGCGGTTGCGGTGTCGCGGGCGAGATGGGATGTGTCGCCTAATGGCTGTTGCGGTGGCGGTTGCGCTGCCGGGTTGAAACACGTCGCCTGGTTGCGGTTGCGGTTGCGGGCGCGGGCGGATTGAAATGCGTCGCCCGGTTGAGGTCGCGGTTGTGCGCGCGGGCGGGTTTTGAAATGCGTCGCCCGGTTGCGGTTGCGGTTGCGCGCGCGGGCGGGCTGACATGTGTCGCCCAGTTGCGGTTGCGCGTTCCCGGGAGGTTTGAAATGTGTTGTCAGAAGTGTTTTCCTGACGTTCAGTCAGTCAGTCAGTCAGTCACACCAGCGGGCACGGAATTTCACCCGCCTCCGTTGGTAATAAAAAGCGAGCCTTTCAAAAGTAAGCACACTAGAGACAGACTCAGTGTAGGTGGCCGTGTGTCTTCGACACTTCTTATAGGAAGGTGCCCTCACCTCTCCGCGACTCCCCCCCGTCCCCCTCGTAATTATGCCATCGCGTCTGCGGTCCATCCATCCTCTCCCTGGCGCGGCCAAGGGCGTGGACCTGGCACCCCTGATGCAGTGCTTGTGCTCCGAGAAGCTAGTGTTCGAAAAGGACGAGACCTGGGATCACGAGCTCATCTTCCAGGAGGCCAGAAGGGGGCAAGGCTACGTGTTCGCCCGCGTTTGGGCACACGTGCGCCCATGCGCGCGAGAAGTTGTTAAGATAGTGGTACGGGTTGATAGGGGGAACAGGAGGAGAAGAAGAAGAAGAAGAAGGAACAATGAGGTGGAGGAGTGGGAGGAGGACGAGGAGGAGAGAAGAGGTCGGTTGGACATGGCATTAGCGCAATCGCTGTGCCTCGTTATGATCAGCTGGTAACTTTCATTTCGCCCGCCACCCTCGGAACGAAGAAGGGCGCCCGGCCCTGAGCAGACCAGAACTGCCATGGGCACCAGGCCCGCCGGGCACTGACCCAGGAGAGAGGGAGCGACGGAATGGCGAAGCCAAAGCATGCGAAGGCAGTTGGCTAACAGCGCACGGCAAATCATCGGTCGAGAAGAGGAGAGGGGGAGATCTGATGCGTACGAGGAGGGGGGAAGAGGAATATGAAAACGAGGATACTTAAGGGAGGGGAAGTATTAGGAGGAGGATACGGATCTGAGTGAACCCAAGATGTACCAGCGATGCTGCAGCACAGCCTCCCGTCCCAAGTGCCTTTCCATTAGTCCTTAAAAGCATGTTCCTTCACTGCGCGAAACGCCCCCTTGAAAGAGCGCCCCGTGGTTCCACAAGTCGGGGGACAGCTCCGTTTTTCAATAAGCCGCCATCCATCTTTAGAGCCAGAAGGAATGCGACAACGCGTTTTTTATATGACAAAGTATCCCGGCAAAGCAACCTAACAGCGATGTGTATAAGCATATCTGGAAGCATTCCCCTTACGATTCAGGTGAGAATCCAGTTGCAGAATTCTGCTGTTCTCGCAGTCGCAGTCGCATTCGCAATGACAGTCGCAGTGGCAACGGCCTTAGGACCCAATGGAATCCTAAGGATTCCTAGGGATTCCTAAGGCATCCTTAGGCATCCTTAGGAATCCATGGGAATCCTTAGGAAACCTTAGGAATCCTTAGGAATCATGATTCCTAGGGATTCCTAGGGATTCCTAAGGATTCCTGAGGATGCTTAACCATGCCTACGGATTCCTAAGGATGCCTACGGGTTCCTAAGGATTCCTAGGGATTCCTAAGGATTCCTATGGATTCCTACGGATGCCTCAGCCTGCCTCAGTTTCAGCCTCAGCCTCAGCCTGCCTCGGTTTGCCTCAGCCTCAGCCTCAGCCTGCCTCGGCCTCAGCCTCAGCCTGCCAGCCTCAGCCTGCCCCGGCCTCAGCCTGCGTCAGCCTCAGCCTCAGCCTGCGTCAGCCTCAGCCTGTCTCAGCCTCAGCCTCAGCCTCAGCCTCAGCCTGCCTCAGGCTTGCCTCAGCCTCAGGCCTCAGCCTGCCTCGGCCTCAGCCTGCCTCAGCCTCCCCCTCCTCCCCCCCTCCCATTCAGCCTCACCTTGTCTCAGCTTCGGCCTGCCTCGGCCTCATCCTCAGCCTCAGCCTCAGTCTCAGCCTCAGCCTGCTCGGCCTCAGCCTGCCTCGGCCTCAGCCTCAGCCTGCCTCAGCCTCAGCCTCATCAGCCTCAGCCTCAGCCTCAGCCTCAGCCTCAGCCTCAGCCTCAGCCTCAGCCTCAGCCTGCCTCAGCCTCAGCCTGCATCAGCCTCAGCCTCAGCCTGCCTCAGTCGCAGCTTGCCTCAGCCTCAGCCACAGCCTCAGCCTCAGCCTCAGCCTCAGCCTCAGCCTCAGCCTGCCTCAGCTTCAGCCTCAGCCTCAGGCTGCCTCGGCTTGCCTCTGCCTCAGCCTCAGCCTGCCTCAGCCTCGGCCTCAGCCTCAGCCTCAGCCTCAGCGTCAGCCTCTCAGCCTCAGCCTGCATCAGCTTCAGCCTCAGCCTCAGCCTGCCTCAGCCTCAGTCTCAGCCTGCCTCAGCCTCAGCCTGCCTCAGCCTCAGCCTCGGCCTCAGCCTGCGTCAGCCTCAGCCTCAGCCTGCCTCAGCCTCAGCCTCAGCCTCAGCCTCAGCCTCAGCCTGCCTCGGCGTGCCTCAGCCTCAGCCTGCCTCGGCCTCAGCCGGCCTCGGCCTTGGCCTGCCTCAGCTCGGGCATTCAAAATATGGCACAGGACTAATGTTCTGGGAACAGGAAGACCACGAAGTGGCCCACAGTTGGTTCCGGGCAATCAAAAGATGGTGCAAGAATGGTGTTCTGAGAACACGAAGAACACGAAGTGGCCTACGGTTGGCTCCAGGCATTCAAAATGTGGCCTGGGAATGGTGTTCTGGGAACACGAAGAACACGAAGTGGCCTACAGTTGGCTCCGGGCATTCAAAATATGGCCTGAGAGTGGTGTTCTGGGAACACCAAGAACACGAAGTGGCCTACAGATGGCTCCGGGCATTCAAAAAGTGGCCTGGGAATGGAGTTCTGGGAACTCGAAGACCACGAACTGGCCTACAGTTGGTTCGGGGCATTCAAAATGTGGCCTGGGAATGGTGTTCTGTTGGCTCCGGGCAGTCAAAATGTAGCTCCTGGCAATCAAAATGGGGAGTCCCCGGTTTTCCCCGGCATACCCCGGATCCTGCCCAGACCCACCTGGGGAATCAGGATGTTGTCTTTTGACACCACTAGAAACCTATGAATTTCCGTTGTTTGGTATTTAAGGAAGTGCCCCGCGACAGCCCCGCTTTGAAGAAAAGAAGCTACCCTGCATCCGTGTAGCTGTTTTTTTCAGCTCCTGGGCAAGAAGTCCATAGAGTCCCGGGCGGAGGCCCCATTGTCAAGAGGATCCGCCATCCACCCGTGTCATTGAGACATCATATTACATTCGTAGTAGCATTGCTTGAGAGAGCCATGCGAGAGCTCCATTTTGAAACCGTGCTGGCCTCTACCGGTGTACTTTGTGGGAACGTTTATGACGAATGTGCGCGGTGCGAAGGCGAGAGCCACATGTTTCAAGCGACCAGCCCTCCATCAGCGTAATTGTTGGAATTGTTTTAGCCCGTTCTGACTGGCTCTAAGGCGAGAGCCACAGTTAAAATTATCCCGGCAAAGCAATCTAACAACGATGTTTAGAGGCATATATGGAAGCATTGCCCTTGAGATTCATGCAGGAGTCTTGTTGTAGAATTCTGGTGTAATCGCAGTCGCAGTCGCAATCGCAATGGCAGTTGCAGCGGCAACGGCAGTCGCAGTCGCAGCCTCAGCCTCAGCCTGCCTCAGCCTCAGCCTCAGCCTGCCTCAGCCTCAGCCTCTGCGTAGTAGTAGTAGTAGTAGTAGTAGTAGTAGTAGTAGTAGTAGTAGTAGTAGTAGTAGTAGTAGTAGTAGTAGTAGTAGTAGTCAGTAGTAGTAGTAGTAGTAGTAGTAGTAGTAGTAGTAGTAGTAGTAGTAGTAGTAGTAGTAGTAGTAGTAGTAGTAGTAGTAGTAGTAGTAGTAGTAGTAGTAGTAGTAGTAGTAGTAGTAGTAGTAGTAGTAGTAGTAGTAGTAGTAGTAGTAGTAGTAGTAGTAGTAGTAGTAGTAGTAGTAGTAGTAGTAGTAGTAGTAGTAGTTAGTAGTAGTAGTAGTAGTAGTAGTAGTAGTAGTAGTAGTAGTAGTAGTAGTAGTAGTAGTAGTAGTAGTAGTAGTAGTAGTAGTAGTAGTAGTAGTAGTAGTAGTAGTAGTAGTAGTAGTAGTACCAGTAGTAGCATGCAGGCGCTGCAAGGCTTGTCTGTATCCGTATTGTCATCGCTCTGCATTCTCTCCCTACTACGTTGGTCTGTACCATCGTTTGCACAGCAGCAAAACTGCATGCAGGATGCAGACTGAGGCGCCCCGTATCTCACTACCCACCAAATTGTTTGCAAAGGAATCAGTGCTGCCCCATCAGCACCGACGCGTCCAGAAAAGCAACTGCGGGCTGAGAAGCACCGCGGGCAAAAGTGAGACAACCGCGGCGGTGAGGGCAGCCGATTCAGCGGCTCGCCGCTTGGCGCGGCAGCACCTTGGGCACCCACTCCCGCACCCAGTGCAGCACGTTATTCTTGTGATCATTTTACTGATATGGTGCAGACAGGAACGGACTTGCCATTACCGCCGGAGCCGAGTGTCAAAGATATCGCTTTCAAAGCCTGCTGCTCGCGAATATTCGTGGTCATGCCAGGCATGATCTGTCGCAGGGCACGGCGTGATCCGGCTGGAACCGGCCACCGACCAGACAAAGCCAGGAGGTCTCCAGGGAACAAATGCGGCACTGTCAGTTTGGAGTTCAGTCCCGCCAGCACGGTGATTTCCAATATTCGTTTGCATTTGTATGCTCCGCATCCATCGACCTCGTACTCACGCTTGCTTGCCAGTTGGAAGACCAGTTGGACAAGGCTGAGGAGCACCTGTCGCCGCTGGATCGTCGGCAGCGAGGGCGTGCACGAGGAGAGCAGGTGCGCCATCTTGTTGCCAATGGTGCGCATGAACTGAAGAAGCTGCACCGCAATGTTGCGGCGACAGATCTTCCCCGGGCGCTGGCCACCACGGTGCGCAACTTTGGCGGTGTCGAGGTAACGCCTGAGGCCTTGCAAGTTGTTCGTAGCTAGGCATGGCGCTGCAGCATCCACAGTTGCTGCCGAGCCCGTCATGGCAGCAGCGTAGATCAGACGCACCAGGTGGCGGCAACGCACCAAAACATTCGTGCTGTGCGAAGTCCGCAGGCTGAGAAGCACCGCGGCACCCTTCTCCAGCGATGCCTGCAGTTTGTGTTGGTCGTCGGGGTCAAACGGTTGGTGCACGGGTTTCTCTGGCGATCGGATCCCTGAGGCCAATTCAGACAACAGCCTGAAATCCACATTACCATTGAGAGAAGCGATGCCCGAACACATGCAATCACGGGGCTGCCTTGCTGCACATGCCCCACATGCGAAAATCACTTCTTCACTCGCAGGCCGAGGAGCACTGCGAGCGCGAGAGCGAGCCAGGGCATCCTTGTACAAGCAGTGCTCAAATGAGTTTGCTGGCGTTCTCAAACCCACCAACAGCGGGGATATGACATTCATCTGGGGCGGAACTTTGACAGCACCTTTGCGCTCGGAGCG